TATGTTGAGATCAGGGTTCTATGGGAACCTAATCATCATTTCCAGGACTCCTTGTTCTTATTTACACTGAAAATTGTTCTTAACTACCGCCAACCGCAGATAGCCGAATGACGGCTACACTGCGGCTGGCCAGTTCTGGGAGGGCGTCATATGACGTACTCCCAGAATGCGCTCGGCGCACATCCGGCGATCTCTGTGATCGCTGTGTCCTACGGATACAGCTGATCACGTGATGTGGTAAAAGGCCAATCACAGCTGCCTTTTACCACGTGATCAGCCGTGTCCAATGACACGCTGATCACCGGGAAATGCAATTGCCGGTTCTCGGCTGCACTTTCCTCACACTGTCAGAGCGCGAGGAAAGTACTGCCGAGAACCGGTAGTTGTCAGAGCAGGGATCGGCACCGATCATCAGGGCCCAGCAGTGCCAGCAGTGCCACCCCCACCTATGCCCATCAATGCAGTGCTGCCAGTCAGTGCCCAGCGGTTGTGCCAGTCAGTGCCTAGCAGTGCCACCAGTCAGTGCCACCTTTCAGTGCTGTCTATCAGTACCCATCATCAGTGCTGCCTCATCAACGCACATCAGTGAGGAGAAAAATTACCTGTTTGAAATACCACCAAAAGAAAGCTCTATTTGTGAAAAACAAATTATAGAAATTTCATATGGGTATAATGTTGCATGACCGCGCAATGATCAATCAAAGTGCGACAGCGCTGAAAGCTGAAAATTGGCCTGTTAAAGAAGGGGGAATAAGTGCCCGGTAGGCAAGTGGTTAATGATACTGGCTGCATGTTTGGGGTTGTCGTTCTGCTGCAAAATAAATTTGGGGCCAATTACTTGCCTATGGTTAAGTATCTGCTTGCGTCTCTCAGTATTGAGGACACCAATGATCTTGACCAAATCTCCAACTCTTCATTTGCAGAAATGAAGCCACAAACTTGCAAGGAACCTCCATCAGTAGTATTATTATATGGCGCCATCAATTTACACAGCGCTTTACATATATATTGTACGTTCACATCCGTCCCTAACCCACAAGAAGGCGTACACTCTAAGGTCCCCAACTCTCATTCATACATACACATACTAGGGCCAATTCACCTACCAGTTTGTTTTTGGCCTGTGGGAGGAAACTGGAGTACCCGGAGGAAACCCGCACAGGGAGAACATGCAATCTCCAAGCAGGTGGTGCCATGGTTGGGATTCAAACCAACAACCCATGCTTCATTGTCCAGTAAAAATTTTAAATATTTGGGTGTAGAAGGAGGCAGTGTGTTCATGAAAGGCTGGAGAGCGGTGCAATGAGTGTCTGCAGGCAACAGTGAAGCATGGTGGAGATTCCTTGCAAGTTTGTGGCTTCATTTCTGCAAGTGAAGAGTTGGAGATTTGGTCAGGATCAATGGTGTCTTCAATGCTGATAAATACAGGAAGATACTTATCCTTCAGAGAGGCATAAAATTGGCCCCAAATATATTCTGCAGCAGGACAACGACCCTCAAACAAACAGCCAATGTCATTAAGAACTATCTTCAGTGTAAAAAGAACAAGGAGTCCTAGAAGTGATGGTTTGGCCCCCACAGAGCTCTGACCTCAACATCAGAGTCTGTCTGGGATTACATGAAGAGACAGAAGGATTTGAGGCCGCCTACTTCTACAGACTATCTGTGGTTAGGTTGTTCCAAACCTCTTGGAGAACTTTCTGCTGAGTTCCTTTGAAAAACTGTGCAAGTGTACCTAGAAGAATATTGATTATGATTTATCTTCTGTTTATTTACTTTCTGTTTTAATTGAGAAAAATAAGCTATGAACACTTCTAGTTCTGAAAGCATTCTTAAAAAGGAACTACACTGCATCTAGGCAACACAAACCAAAAACACTAATTCATTCTTAATATTCAAAGCATATACTGCCATCCATAACCACTTGCCCTCTAGAGGATTTTCCCCCTTCCTGACTAGGCCATTTTTTGCAATATAGCGCTGCATTACATTAACTGACAATTGCGCGGTCATACAACGTGGCACCCAATGTTTTTTTTCCTCACAAAGCTTTCTTTCGGTTGTATTTGATCACCTATGTTTTTTTTTGTTTTTTTTTTTTTGTGCTATAAACAAAAAAAGACGAAGAATTTTGAGGAAAAAAAACTAATATTTTTGACTTTGTGCTATTAAACTTGTCCAGTGAAAAAATGTTAAAAATCAAATGTCTTCATACATTTAGGCCAAATGTATTCTGCTACATGCCTTTTGCTAAATAAAATCTCAGTATGTGTAAATTGGTTTACATGAACGCTATAGCGTTTACAAATAGCGGGGTGTGTGTGTGTGTGTATGTATATGTGTGTGTGTGTGTGTGTGTGTGTGTGTATGTGTATATATGTGTGTGTGTACATACACAGAGAGAGAGATTGATTTTAATATTTTAATTTTTTTTTACCTGCCTAGTACTATTAGTACAGTGTCCGTTTTTGTTTTTTAAGCACTGATCTCTGTATTGGTGTCACTGGGGATGTTAGTGACACCAAGTTAGTTCTGCCCCCAGTGTCCGAATGTCTGCCGCAGTCCCGCTAAAAGTTGCTGATCGCCGCCATTACTAGTATGGGGAAAAAATTAAAAATACCAGTATCTATACCGCCATTTGTAAACACTATAACTTGCACATAAACCAATTAATTTACACGTATTGGGATATTTTTTTTTTTTTTTTTTTAGCAAAGACATGTAGCAGAATACATTTTGGCCTACATTTACGACAAATTTTTTTTTTTTTTTTTTTTTTTACTGGATATGTTTAAATCAAAAAGTCAAAAATATTGTGTTTTTTTTTTTTTTTTTTTTTTTTTGTCAGAATTGTCGGTCTTTTTTGCTTTTAGCGCAAAAAATAAAAACTGCACAGGCGATCAGATATCACTGAAAGAAATCTCAATTAGTGGAGGGAAAAAAAGACGGAAATTTCATTTAGGTGCAGCGTTGCATGACCATACAATTGCTAGTTAACGTAACGCAGCACCATAACACAAAAAATGGCCTGGTCAGGAAGGGGGGTAAATCCTCAGGAGGGCAAGTGGTTAATGTGGTTAAGCCCAAGAGAAAAAAAAATGATTGTATTGCATCTTATCAGACCTGTGATGTGGTGGCTGCATAAGTTTCAGTTTTCAGGCTTTTTCATCTGGCGATCCTGCTAGTACTTGTGAAAACTTGCTGTATGTGTGGAGCATTTACTGTATGTACCTATTGTGTTTGCCTGGAGTTTAGCTTTAAAATGCCCCTATTTAGAGAAATAGTTTGGCAACCGTTGTATGCTTTTTTTCTGAAAATGCTAGTTACTCTTCTGTCTCTGGCTCCATTACCTCTGTCATAGAATTGGAAACCAGGATGTAGCATGTACAGTATGTCAGAAAACTGCCAAAATTCCTTATGTTTGTACTTGTATTGGGTCAGTGATTTAGAATCTTGCTAAGCAGCAAGTCACAGCCATTTTCAGAATTGAAGGTCAAACATCGCAGCTTACATTTTCCCCCCTTGTGTTCAGAGTCTCAGTGTGCATCCTGTGTATGATTCTACTTTTAATTGTATATTTTCTTGTTTGTCTTTTGGTTATCCATTTTTCTCAAATGCTGTTCTTGCTGCATTCCATATCCTACCATGAAAAAAAAAGAACCTTGGACCTCATATACATAAGCTTCATCTAAACTTTCTTACTTGGAACTAGTCAGGATATCTCTTTATCCTGCCCATAAATTAAAGAATCACCTAGGATGCCGTGAGCAGCAGACGTGGTTCATTTAGACACTATGAATACCTCTTAAAGGAGAAGTTTTTGCAAAAACTTTTTTTTGGCATCATTTCTCCTATGGATCACAGGAGTGCACTTCTTTCTGCTCTCCTGTGACACATTTTTAGCCAACAGTGGGCTAAATCCTGCTGACTTCACAGTTGGAATCCACACAGATGCCTGGACTGATAGCTGGCTCAGCCTCTCAGTGAGCTGCTGAGAGCCTGAATCAACCTCTTCCACCCCTTCCACAGCCCGTCACTCCAGGAAGCGATGGAGAGGCAGAGCAGTGATCAGTGACTGACAGTCACTGGCTCACTGAAGAACGAGAACTGAACAGTCAGCAGCCTTTTATCGCTCAGTTCTCCTCTTTTAGAACAACCTCTATGGGACTAAACTGCACAAAGTATGAGAGGGAAAATTTTTTTTTTTAAAGGCTTAGCTCTGGACCAGCACAAGTGCAGTTCCAGTACTAGATGCCAGAAGGACCCACAAAAGCCAGTGAATCCAGGTGCCATTTTATAAAGGCTTTGGGACAAACAGGTGCTGTCCCTGTGCCCATTGTAATAAGGAGAGAAAACACAACATAAAATTGCTCCAACAAACCAATCACTGCAGATAAACAAAAAACTGTTAGTAGACATCATGTTTTATTGATGGAATTACACAGCTGTACAGTGCTAATTATCACTTATGTGATTAGTCTTGCTATCGCATTCTACACACTGGGCATGCGTGTCTCGTTGTGCATTCACATGAAAACATTGCTGGCAGGTAATTTTTTTTTTTTTTTGTTTTTTTTTGTTTGTTTTTTTTTTTTACTCCAGAAGAGATGTGCAGAGTCTCTTCTGCAAAAAGAACCTGCATGTCAGTAATGTTTTGTAAACTTGAGTGTAATTCCACTATGAATGACTGTGATTTATTCCCCACCTGTGAATTTTGGTGAAAGTTGTATTCACTCCTTTATGATATGGAATCATAAATGCAAACCTATCCTATAGGATATTATTCATTTTAAAAGACAAGGTTTACTAGCAATATTGCTATTTTTCTGTATTGTGTAACAGTTGTATGAATGTATGTTTTGAATGTGAGTTCTTTCACTATCCTTATTATTTAGATAATTTTACACGGACGTAAACAGTATTGTAGACTGTTACAGAAGTTTCATGCAATAGAACAGAATAATCTCTGTGATATCAATAGCAGTATTGTATTTTTCTTCTAGGAACATCATCTCCAGCGAGCCATTTCAGCACTGCAGGTATATGGAGAGAAGCGGGATAACATGGTTATTCCAGTCCCGGAGGCAGAAAGCAACATCTCTTATTATGAATCTGTGTACCCAGGGGAATTTAAGATGCCAAAGCAGCTCATTCACATACAGCGTAAGTAACACTTGTATTGAATTTTTGGCCTAAACTGTTTATATAATGAAAATATCATGAAAAACTTTATGAAGCTGAATTGTGCAATAATGTGCTAAGCCAGCACAAAGCTTGGCAATGTTCTCCCCAACCCCATTTTGATAGTGCTTGGGACTGATGATTGCCTGTGCTTGCTTGATACACTTTATTAGTCCAAGTAGCGGGTATTTCTGGTGGAAAAGTACAGCAGCAGGGAATGCATTTATTCACTTTCGCAGCTTTGTATTCCTTTTTCCTATTCAGGGCAAATTGTAGAGCTTCTCCAGAATAGCACCCTCACATTTCTGATAACGAAATTACATTATTTACTCCACAATCAGTTTTGTTTTCCTTGATCTTCCTTTAAAAATTTCTGTGTATGTTTCAGGTCAACTATTGGCCATGATATTTAAGGGTTCCTACCTCTCACAGAACAGCTCCTCAGGCATTCAATACTGCATTGTGGAAGGAAGGGAAGAAAAATACCATGTTGTAGCTGGAAAACACAGGATAGTTGAGCTCCAGCTCAGGGAATAAGCTATTCTGCAAATTGTAATATATGTACATATATGCTTTGGTACATGTTTGTGCCTAATGCCAATTATTTTCATTTGCTATTATCCATATTGTATTCTATTGTATTATAGCATATTCTATGTGGCGCAAATTTTGTTTTGTTTATAATTTCAGCTTTTAGTTTGGATGCGGAGCAACCAGATTATGACATGGATTCTGAGGATGAGGTCTTTGTGAACAAGCTTAGAAAGAAATTGGACATATCTCCTCTTCAGTTTGAAGAAATGATTGACCGGTTAGAGAAAGGCAGTGGTCAGCAGGTAAAATAAATGGGGTTTTTTTTGGTGTGTGCGTTTGTTCTGGATTGCACACTCATTATATATGCGCATTTTAAAATTGAACTTTAGAGGCAGAAAAAAAACCCTTCTCATTTTGCGTTTTTGATTGGTTGTCTGGCAGAAAAAACCGCTGGACACTCCTAAACCCGCCTAAACATTGTACAAAAGCCCAAGGGAACTGGTGTTTAAGCCCAGTGTGCATGGAGCCTAAAACTTAGAAAATGATCAGTACTGAAGTAAGGTGCAGTTGCAACCATAATCATAGTGGTTTTTTTTTTTTGTTGTTGTTTTTTCCCTTCAGCCTGTTAATCTCCAAGAAGCCAAGCTGTTGCTAAAGGAAGATGATGAGTTGATAACAGAAGTATATGACTATTGGATTAAGAAAAGGAAAAATTGTCGTGGCTCCTCCCTTATACCAGCAGTGAAACAGGAGAAGCGGGATGGCTCAAGCACCAGTGATCCTTATGTAGCTTTCAGAAGGCGTACAGAGAAGATGCAAACACGGAAAGTGAGTTACCTTGATATTGTCTATAGCTTCTGTCCTAATGGCGTTAGTGTAGACTCTACTTCAAATATACAGTAAGTCTACACCTGTTAGACCATCAGGTCTTCATTTGAAGTTAGAACTGTTCTTGTTTAAATTTGAATTCTTAGTGGCTATAAATGGCAGGAATTGAAGTTGATGTGACATACATGCTCTCTTACCTACGCTGATGCAACATGTCTTCGCTAAGACCATGTTGACAGTCCTGCTGCCACTGGTAACCCCCAGAATATACTTGCCTTGCATTTCTGCGGGCATTTACTCGGTATCCTCAAAAGAAATCTCCTATAGGGTTGTCATCGAAGTCATCCTCAGCTCTGTCCTCTCCATGTTGATATGGATCCTCATATCCACTTAGGACTTTTTGGCTGTTTGTACTGTTATTGGGGTACTCTAAGCAAGCTCTTGCACTTCCCTCTGCAGAATCTCTCTTTCACCCCTCTAAACCCTTAGGGTGAAAGGGACCAAAGGCCAGCATGATCTAACTCACATTCAGAGTTCCAGCAGTCTATTTCTGAAGATACTTTTTTGGGTTTAGGAGCTGTACTCCATGCAGACACTTGCTTGCGATAATCTTCTGTCTTCCAGTACTGTTGAATTCATTGTGGTATATGGTTCCCGTTAACATCCCACCTCTCCAGAGGTCTCCTGACCTACAGTATCAACCTGGACCCAGTTCTTTGTGCCCCCTACCTAAGCAAGCACCTTTCCCTTCCAAAGCAAGCACCTTTCCCTTCAGGGTCCTTCAGAGACACCATCTTTGGTCCTATTCACATTGGGCAGTTAGCTGTGTGTCCTGTGCAGGGCTGCCTTTTACCAACATTTACGAGCTGGTGTGCTGGTTGCCTATTGAGATATGAGGCTGCACAGATGCAGCCGCTGCATCCCAATATTAAGTGCTGGTCTCCAAAGTTCCAAAGTTACCTCCAGTAATATGTGGGGGAGTCCCCCTGCAACAGAGCAACTGACTTGTTCCCTATGGTGAATGATGCTATGAGTGCTACACCAAAGCCAAGCTGTCCAGCAGGGTGGAGAAGGATCCAGCATCTTAGAAACTGTGCCCGGGCTGAGAGGCTCCTGATTGAGGTCTGCCAGCCAGGGCTAAACTCAGGTATATGAGCTACAACCAGGGGCACTTTATATCCTCAGCTAGAGTAATGTCTCTGGAAACTAGAGCTGTCTGCTCACCCTAGATTAGGAGGACTGTGGGTACCTACAGTGGATATAAAAAGTCTACACACCCCTGTTTAAAATGTCGGGTTTCTGTGATGTAAAAAAGAGACAAAGATAAATCATTTCAGAACTTTTTCCACCTTTTAATGTAACCTATAAACTGTACAACTCTGTTGAAAAACAAACTGAAATCCTTTAGGGGGGAAGTAAACATAAAAAACTGAAATAATGTGGTTGCATAAGTGTGCACACACTCTTATAACTGGGGGAGGTAGCTGTGTTCAGAATTAAGCAATCACATTCACAACCATGTTTAAATAGGAGTCAGTACACACCTGCCATCATTTTAAAGCACCTCTGATTAACCCCAAATAAAGTTCAGCTGTTCTAGTAGGTCTTTCCTGACATTTTCTTAGTCGCATTCTACAGCAAAAGCCATGGTCTGCAGAGAGCTTCCAAAGCATCAGAGGGATCTCATTGTTAAAAGGTATCAATTAGGTACAAAAGAATTTCCAGGGCATATACCATGGAACACAGTGAAGACCGTCTTCAAGTAGAGAAAATATGGTGTAACAGTGACACTTGTCAAGAACTGGTCTGGGAGGCCGCCAAGAGGCCTAGAGCTACATTAAAAAAGCTGCAGGAATATCTGGCAAGTACTGGCTGTGTGGTACATGTGACCACAATCTCCCGTACTCTTCATATGTCTGTGCTATGGGGTAGAGTGGCATGACGGAAGCCTTTGCTTACGAAGAAAAACATCCAAGCCCAGCTAAATTTTGCAAAAACACATCTGAAGTCTCTCAAAAGCATGTGGGAAAATGTGTTCTGGTCTGGTGAAACGAAGGTTGAACGTTTTGGCCATAATTCCAAAACATATGTTTGGTGCAGACCCAACACGGCACATCATCAAAAGAACACCATACCCACAGTGAAGCATGGTGGTGGCAGTATCATGCTTTGGGGCTGTTTTTTTTCTTCAGTTGGAACTGGGGCCTTAGTCAAGGTAGAGGGAATTATGAACAGTTCCAAATACCAGTCAATATTGGCACAAAACCTTCAGGCTTCTGCTAGAAAGCTGAACATGAAGAGGAACTTCATCCTTCAGCATGACAACGACCCAAAGCATACATCCAAATCAACAAAGGAATGGCTTCACTAGATGAAGATTAACGTTTTTTTTGGAATGGCCAAGCCAGAGCCCAGACCAGAATCTGATCGAAAATCTGTGAGGTGATCTGAAGAGGACTGTGCACAGGAGATGCCCTCACAACCTGACAGATTTGGAGTATTTTTGCAAGGAAGAGTGGGCAAATATTGCTAAGTCAAGATGTGCCATGCTGATAGAATCATCCCCAAAAAGACTGAGTGCTGTAATAAAATCAAAAGGTGCATTGACAAACTATTAGTTTAAGGGCATGCACACTTATGCAACTATATTATTTTAGTTTTTTATTTTTACTTCCCTCCATCTAAAAGATTTCAGTTTGTTTTTCAGTTGAGTTGTACAGTTTATAGGTCACATTAAAGGTGGAAAAAGTTATGAAATGATTCATCTTTGTCTTATTTTTTTACATCACAGAAACCTGACATTTTAACAAGAGTGTGTAGACTTTTTAGATCCACTGTATAATAACTGCTTAAGTAATGTTCAAAAATCATGTAGCCAAACTATAAAAGTGATCATGGGGGATAAAGAGTAATTTTTATGCTAATAGCTGTAACATTCGGCTTATTGTCTATCCTCTCTTCAAAACATACGCAAACATTTTAACTATACAGACCAGAAAGCAGTATGATGCAGTTGGAAATTCTGTCCTTTAGTTACAGATAAATGTGGATGCAGGTTATTTTTTTACAGAATCCTTTAATATTTCAACTTTATTCTTATAGAACCGAAAGAATGATGAGGCTTCTTATGAGAAGATGCTGAAGTTGCGCCGGGATCTTAGCCGAGCAGTTACTATTTTAGAAATGATTAAGAGGAGAGAAAAAAGCAAGCGAGAATTATTACATCTAACACTGGAAATTATGGAAAAGAGGTATACCGAACTTTATAAATTTTTGTATTGTTACTTACATAAAAAGGACTGTCTGAAATGTAGACTAGTATTATTTCCAGTTAATGGCCCTAAATAGTTAGGAAAAAGGAACAAAACTTATTTCAGTGACAATGTTTTGCCCTTAATCAAATAACCTGTCAGCACCCTTTAACTTCAATGGGCATTGTCCATATATTCTTTTTTGAGAAATCTGGGGTCTATCAGACTCTAGATATCTCCTCTGCCCTTACATTATCTAATCTCACCAAGATCGGTGTGACCAGATGCTTTCCCAATTTACAAATGGCGCTGTTTATATCCTGCGAAACTGAAGTGATGAAATGCTCGTAGCTTCCAATTTATTAAACTATAGAGAGGAGTTCCTGTTGCTGTCAGAAAAAAACAGGTCGGTGCTGCAGCTGAATGACATTCCTGCAAAGAAAACAACAATGGTTAACAAAACAGTAAGAAATCAGTAAAATCTTAACAGTAGAACAGTAACAACCATGACAAAAACAATAACTTTTTGGGTTTTTAAGAAATTTTTTGGACTTGAACTTTTTATTTTTTAAAACAGATTGTAGGGTCTCTCAAAATGCGATAGCCAGTTTCCTGACTACCTAACATCTTTCGAGACCCTGTGTAAATATGTGCCCTAAATTGTGCCGTGCTTTACCCTATACTAATACTCCACTAGTGTATGGTAGCGACAGAAGCAGTCCTCGAGGCAGAGACCAGGTTGGCCAAGACAGGAGGGACAAAAAGAGTGAGTGTCGCGTCTTAGTCCGTGTCTGGTACAGACACAACATCTTCTTTGGGGTGACCTTTGGGTTGGAGTACCAAAGAGAACATCCAGAAAATGCCTCTCTTGCAGCAGGCTAACTGCATCTGGATTTGAGAATTGGATCACAGCACCTTCTGGATACAAAAGGGCCGTGATCACTTCCTGGAATTTTAGGAAGGATCCACTTCTTCCAGTTGCTTTGTAAAGTACGAAAGCATAGCCAATTGAAATAAATAGACACCTTTTTGTACCAGTGTCGAGCTTTCCGGGAAACTAGGTACAGATTTATCATTTGGTCGTTGAAGTCCACCCTTCCCAAGTTAAGGTTATAGTCATGGACACAAAGGGGTTTCTCAACAACGCCAGATACCATGTTAATTTGGACTATCACATCTGCGCGAATGAAAGACAGGACGAAAACATCCCGTTTTTGTCCTTCCATTTCACTGCGAGCAATTCATCATTCCTAAAGCAGACTTTCTCCCCCTTCTAAGTCGTTTATTTACAAGCTGTTTTGGGAAGCCCCAGCGATTAGGTCACATGGTGCCAAATGAGCCAATTCCAAGATTGTACAAATGTCTAAATAGTGGCACGCTTGTCTACAAATTGTCCGCGTATAAGTGGTACCCCTTACAGAACAAAGACGACACCAAGTCCCAAACTATCTTGCCACTGCTCCCCATGTAGTCTGGGCAGTTGGGGGGGCTATACTTCGCTGTCTCTTCCCTCATAAACCGTACATTTGTACGTATAGCCTGTGGCCCTCTCACAGAGCTTATACAATTTGACCCCATATCTGGGGATGTACTGTTTGAATGTAAGGCGTCCAGTAAAGTGAATGAGGGACTCATCCACACAGATGTTTTGCTGGGGCGTATACACATCTTCAAATTTCTCAGTGAGGTAGTTTATGAGGGGCTGAATTTTTGAAGAGGCTGTCATGTTCAGGGTCACCCCGAAGATGACAGCGTGTGTTATCACTGAAATGCATGAATCGCATTATCGTCTCATATCTATGCCTGGTCATGGCAGCAGAGAACACAGGAATATGATGAATCGGGGTCTGTGGACCAATACGACCGCAACTCATTCTTTTTTGTAATGCCCATGTTTAGGGTTAGGCCCAAAAAAGTTTTACATTTGGAAACCGTAATAGGTTTCCATGCGAATGGTCTGGCAAGGTTTTGAATTTGGGTTTGCTGCATATATTGTTGAGCATATAAATTGCATTGGCCCACAATCAAATTGTCCAAATCTGTGGAAGACAGCTCCATAATATCAAGGGGAGTTAAATTTGCGGTTTCCACCTGAATTCCGAGTTGGGCAGTGAATGGGGGGAAATACGGGTGCTGCAGAATCTGTGGGCTGCCAATCAGCATTTGCTAGCACGTCCAAAAGGACACTAGGGGCTCTACTGGCCTGTCTGCGAATTCTTGGTGGCTGTGGGACACTACTTGTGCTCGCCACCTCACCAGCTTGTATTGCACTTATGGGACTCACCACGTCACCAAGTGATACTACAGTGCTGGTATAAAAAGACCAGGATTTACTAGGCCGCTTGTGCTCGCCAGTTCACCAAAAGTTAGTGCGGCACTAGTACTGGCACTCTGCTGCATATAAGACAAGTCATGCGATCCTAGCACTTCAGCTTCATGGGGTTGGGTATGCCTGATCTTTATAGGGACCTCTTCTCCATTGTCCGTGCTACCTGTCAGGGTGCCACTTCTGTCTATAGGTTCGTTTTCTGAGGCTGATTGTGTCAGGGAGTCTTCCTCTTCACTCTCACCTGACATGCTCAGAATCCTGTAGGCCTCTTAACTAGTGTACCTTTTGTTGGACATTTTGGACTCTAAATTTACAGGTACCTAGTGCGACTCATGGAAATAAGAGCATCTGCCTGTCAGGGACTGCTTGAACCGCTACAAAAAACAATTTAACGGCAAGTGCTAACAGAGATCAGGCCTGGTTCTATGAACACTGGTTTTGTGTGCAATGTATTACAGGTGACATTGATCAGAAATTATACTGACACTACACGTCTTGTTAGGGGTGGGGGAGAGCGTTGGGTCTAAAAGCTTGTGCTGGCAGCGAACGCGGATGATCCTGCTAACACTGCGTTTTTGGGGACACTAATACTAAGGGGTACTGGTATAGTTTTGTTTGTGATCAATATATTGATCCGTATAAAACACTATACCGGTAATGATGGTGAGCAGCAACCTATAGCGTGAGTGCGATAGTGTGTGGGCAATCTAACGCTAGCTGGGAGGGAAGCTAACTTACCCTGACGCTCTCTGACATCACTAGTGGTACTAATACAGTGATCAGTGAAAAATACTGTACTAATGGCACTGGCAGGGGGCGATCAAAGGGTTAAATGTGGCAATCAAGGGGTTAAAATGACTCTTAACGTGTGTGGGTGCAGTGTGCTGCTTTTACTCACGTGTGATGTCTTTCTTCTCTCTCTGGAACAAAATGGTTCAAGGGAGAGAAGAACCAGCTAGAGCTGGTGCCTGTTTTTACAAATACAGATACAGCTCTGCATCTCCAGTCGCTGTAGGAGATCGGCAGAGTCCCGGTCTAAACCTGGAAGAGCAAAGCGAAGTACAGGTATGTCGCTTTGCCTGCAACTACCGCCTGTCTGCAGTACATTGCGGGTGAGCGGGAAGTGGTTAAAATAACTGTTTCAGCAAGGGCTCATATCCAGCACTATTGCTCACTGTCGTTGAGCCACTGGAGACTGCGACACTTGGAGAGGCATGTTATCATGCATAACATTGCAGATTTCATGTTCCCTTCAAATGTTAACATTCTTTAGTGGTGGATAACTGATTTGGTGCCTTTTTACTGTTTTATTTTTATCTGTCTTCTTCATGTTTAGTTAACTAGCTCTGGTCAATGATGTAGTCCTAAAAGTGATGTAAACTAAAATTATTTTGTAGCCTTGATGCTCAGGCTCATCAATAGTATTTCTTTTGCTGTTGCAGGTATAATCTGGGTGACTACAGCGGAGAGATATTGTCAGAGGTAATGGCACAACGTCAGCCGTTGAAACCCACCTATGCCATCCCCATCATACCAATTTCTAGCAGCCCCTTCAAACATCAGGACACTATAGAGATTAAGGTTAACAAGGTATGGTGGATCTGTTGGCTCTGTTTTTGTTACTGTGAAATAGAGAAAAAAACCTTTTATGTTCTAAAGACCATTTTGGATAAAGCTTGTTCACGGTTACATGCATTTAATACACATTCCCTGCTAATGGGGATTTATACCTTTTTACTAACCTGTTACATCTGTATGCAGGGTGTAACATATCTCTAAAGCAGCAGCCCTACACCAGGCTGCCTGCACTGGTGAGCGCCCTCATAGTCTCTTTATTATTCCTGCTCTTCAGGAACTGTCTGTCTGTATAGGTAGATGGTTATATTCAGTGTCTGCAGGAGCCTGGCATTGCACCTGCAATCTACTTATATAGGTGCAGTGCTTTGCAGGTTCCATTGTAATAAATAAATGCTCATTTATTGCAAAATCGTGCAGTTATTTATTTTTACAAAAGGTGAACGTTTCCATTAAGTAAAGTTATTATTGCCCTTTTAAAGTTTTTATTTTTTTTTTTTTTTTTTTAGACACTGCTGTAGCTAGTGAACTAATTTTATATCTATAATTTCAATCAACCTATGTCTAAGTAATATTTTCAGAAATGTAATTTGTTTTTCACTGAGTCAAATAGAATTTATGAAATGTTCAATTTCTGAATGTTTTCCAGCAAGAGAAATCTGATGTTGTACGACCGAAGCGAAAATATGAGAAAAAGCCCAAAGTCTTACCCTCCTCCCCTGCTGCTCAACAAACAAGCCCTGCTGCACTGCCAGTGTTTAATGCTAAAGATCTGAATCAGTATGACTTTCCTAGCTCTGATGATGAACCCCTGTCACAGGTATGCAGATGTTTTCCATGCTGCATCTAGTAGACAACTAGAATTTTAACAGAATTGCAAATTTTGGCCTTTTTAAGATAGAAAAATAAAAGTAGTACATGAGGTTTGTGGTATTATACTTGTCAGTTTCTCTGTATAGTGGCCTCCATAGAGTTACATTTCATAACCATCATTTTATACATGTGCTGAACACAGCTTGGGCAGACAATACTCATTACTTCTAGGTTCCATCCCAGCTTACTGCAGCTGTTGTAAAGCCGTACACCACCAACTTTCTTGGGATGAGTTCATATCTAATAGCCCTACCTTCTGCCACTAGCAATTAAAATTACTGATTTTTTTTTTTTTTTTTTTTTGAGCAAAATGGTTAAGAGTAAAGCTGGTTACTCACATAGATCTAATTTTACAATATCAGTGAAATCTTTAATTCAATGACGGAGTAATTTGAGAGACTACTTGAACCATTAATGCAGTTTATTTGCAACCAGATAGGCCCTCACACTACAGAGTTGTTGGTAAATTTAAATCCCAGCAATTAACTTCTCTTATGCTCCCTTTTGGTCTTTTTAAATATACAATTGGAAGCATTTTGTCATATCTGTTTTGATTTTTGGACATAATAATTTTTTTCCCCACTTTTCCCACTCAGAGCTTTCTTGTGTCCTTTTGCACACTACTGTTGTTTTCTTGGACTGCAGAAGGAGTTGTAGCGATTTGAGAGTAGGAATAGTTGAGCAGTTTAGCAGAAGACAATGGGCAGGGCTGATACTGCTCGGTTTTCTGTGTGTTGTCAGCCCACAACAGAACTTTTAGATTTGAGTGCATTTCTGGCAGATCAGCGGGTATTTTTCTGTACTTGCAGATTTCACAGGGATGAAACATGGGAAAATGTGAATGTATTATAGAACTGTACTGCATGTTGTTGGGTTTTGTAACTTCTCACAGGGATCAAAAAATCGGTTTTGGATTTTACGTGTTGCTCCACCTGCAGGTGAGAGGATGGAGAACAGCAAGCTGACAAAGGGGTTATAAAGCCCCGAAGCAGAAGCTAGCAGTAAACCCTGACTTGTTTCACTTGTCTGAGTGACTGAGTTACTCCTGAACAAGAACATGGCTTGTAGACTTATAGAATGTACACATTTTTTGTTTCTCTAGTTTTCTAGCTTGGGCATCATGCTTGATTAAAATATTCAGACATGAATAACTAATGGTTTATTTTTAACTAACTCTCAGAAAATGTTGTTCATCACTTTGCATCCCAACATATTCCTAACCCTCTTTGATTTTAGAATTACATACTTTTTGTATTTTTTTTTTTTTTTTTTTCTCTGAGGGTTCTCTGGCACACTAACAACAAAAAAACAGAAATCTGTTCATGTACTATTGAATTACAATTAGAATATCTGTTTTGTTTTTTAAATGTCTGCCATCCCTCTGAGGTTAAGGAGCCATGGCTTACATTTTACACTAAATCACTTCAGGAGCTATATACTTGCTAAACACTTTTATATTCATATAGGGGTGCAGAAAATGCACTAAGAAATGTTGGGTTTTTTTTTTTTTTTCCTTAGGTTATGTCAGGTTCATCAGAAGCCGAGGAAGAAAATGATCCAGATGGTCCCTTTGCTTTCCGTAGGAAAGCTGGCTGTCAGTACTATGCTGTAAGTTTTGGAACCTTTGACATTAATAACTTTCATTTTCCAATATGATATGATTAATTGGATGCTTCTGCTTTTTTTGTTTTTTTTTTTCCCCCCCAAGCCTCATTTGGACCAAACTGGCAATTGGCCATGGTGTAGTCCAGAGCAAGGAGGATTGGGAGACACTCGCTATAGATACTGCCTCACTACCCTCACTGTTCCCCGCAAGTGTATTGGGTTTGCACGAAGACGGGTTGGGCGTGGTGGAAGGTAAGTTTTGTGAATTAATAAGCCATGAACACAGAATGCTGTGAGTGAATTATTTTGGAACTTTATATAGGGCTGTACACTGTGCTACAATAAGTATATACTTTGCTCAGCGTATGTAGATCTTTAAAGCAGAACTATACTCACCTTGAATTGAGCGATGCACTTTCCCCAGAACTCCCTGCCAGCCACTGACATCTTCGGGCATTCTGCTTCCAGGTTTCAATAGCCGGCCGGGCAGAGGTGATGTCACTCACATAAATGCTCAGTCATCATTGCCAAAATTGCACAGTGAGCAGCGCTTGCGCAGCTTACTGTACAGGGCTGAACAAAGCCAGTAAGCAGCTGTAATGCAAAAGAGGCAACGCATGTCTCTTCTGCATTAAAAATCCTGCCTGTCTGCCAATTTTCAAATCCAAGCCTAAAGTTCCACTTAATTGTAGCACTGCTGTGTACTGGTAACATACACTCAGATACCAAAACAACTAACCCACCACTGGACTTTATTGTATAAGTTCCACCTTTTTTTTTTTTTGTCTGTTTTCATAGTAAAGTATATAGTAGTGTTTTTTACGATTGTTCAGTCTACTGGTGAAGCCATATCAAAGTGGTTCTAAAGGCTTAAGGTTTTTTATTCTGTTTTTTTTTTTTTTTACTTTAAAACATTCTCTGCATAAGGTAAAAAATCTTCTGTTAACGTCCCACCAGACCTGAGCCCGATCTCTATCCAGCTCTGCCTGAGAGCTGCGGCTGTCTCCTCATAGGGCAGGCAGCAGCAGAAGCCATTGGATCCTGCTGCTGTCAAATTTAATCCTGAGGAGCAGGTGGGGATGAGCCGTGCTGTCTGTCTGTGGACGCAGATAGTGAGGCTTGGGATCAAGTAGGTGGCTTGTTATTGCTATGGGTGCACTCGGACAGGTAAGTGTGACAGGTTTGTTATTTAAAAAAAAAAAAAAAAATCTTTGGGATCACTTCTGTTATTGGGAAGTTTAAGATTAATTTTTTGTATGGGTCTCAAAAAAAGCCTTAAAAATATTGTTGCCCCTGTAGTTTTTACTTTCACGGTTCAGGTTATGTATGGTAGAATTTAAATGAAGAATATGAAGAGGCTCATTTTTTTTTTTTTTTTTTAATAAAGCAGTGGCTATGACCTAAACCATTCATTCATTCACTGCAGGTGAATCAATCACTGTTCCTTTTAAAGCACATGCACTGAGAAGATACACCTATAATTATTTACAAATATATTCTGGGAGTTTAGGAAATCTTTGAAATAAGTCTTTTGCTAATCTTTTACTGTGGATCATAGGTAAATGAAAAATGTCAGATTTCATTGTAAGCACAAGTTTTCTAACATGCACCCTTATGATATCTCTCTGCAGGGTGCTCCTCGACAGAGCGCATTCGAACTACGACAGTGCTTTTCGTCAGCTGGACGTTGACATGCTTTCCTCTCCTGAACACACTTCAATCAATTTATTTGCCAATACCTCAGAAACGAATACCTCGGATAAATGTTTCTCTAAAGACCTCAGCCAGATATTAGTCAATATAAAATCATGTAGGTGGCGCCACTTTAGGCCACGGACAACATCCCTACATGACAGTGACAATGTTGACTTTTCCTGTAGAACGTTTCACAAAGGTATCACTCGAACAGGCACAGCACAACCTGGGACCCAGACTTGCAGTACCTCGACATCAAGTAAAAGTAGCAGTGGTTCAGCACACTTTGGTATGTGGCCTATTCACTCTACTCAGTCATTTCCATGGAAACATGCATGTCACTGCGGAGAAAATGTTTGCCACCTTACACATCTCTTCTACAGAGAGGATCTACTTTTCAGTTTTTTGTCACGGCTTTGCGGTAACATACAGCTGTTGGTTCTGTTGGAACATCTGTTTTAGCTTTCATTTGTTTCATGTTTCATTCATACAAAAACAAAGAATGCATCTGCCATTCAGAGAAATATGTAGTCACTTGTCATCCTTTGTCAGTTTCTATTTAGGAGATATGAATGTTGAAAAGATCTGTGGCAAAGTGGTAATTGGAGGAATTAATGATTTTCTATCATTTATATTTCTGTTTACCTGCTGAAAATTACAGCATATGTATGGTAGAGGTAAAAGTCCTGTTTTGGTGTCTGTTTGTTTTTTTTTGGGGGGTTTGTAAATTACATTCAGGATGTGGATTTTTGATGCATCTGAACTTAAAAAGGTGAACCATATATTCAGTATGAAAAGATGGGCTCTTAGAGCAAGGAGAAATAAATGGCCTGCTAGTGTGCTACATTTTCTGTACTTGTCCTCAGGAAGCTGTATTTAGAAGCCAGTGGTAAAGCTAATAAAAAAAAAAAAAAAAAAAAAAAACTTTAGGTTTATCACCAGATTTCACCTATGCGGGAAGTGTTAAACTACACTGCTCAAAAAAATTAAAGGAACGCTTTTTAATCAGAGTATAGCATCCAGTCAATTAAACTCCTGGGATATTGAACTGGTCAGTTAAGTAGCAGAGGGGGTAGTTAATCAGTTTCAGCTGCCTTGGTGTTAATGAAATTAACAACAGGTGCACTAGATGGGCAACAATGAGACGACCCCAAAAACAGGAATGGTTTTACAGGTGGAAGCCACTGACATTTTTTCCTTACTCCTCTTTTTTGACTGTTTTTCACTAGTTTTTGCATTTGGCTAGGGTCAGTGTCACTACTGGTAGCATGAGGCAATACCTGGACCCTACAGAGGTTCCACAGGCAGTCCAATTCCTCCAGGATGGCACATCAATACGTGTCATTGCCAGAAGGTTTTCTGTGTCTCCCAGCATAGTCTCAAGAGCATGGAGGAGATTCCAGGAGACAGGCAGTTACTCTAGGAGAGCTGGAAAGAGCTATAGAAGGTCCTTAACCCATCAGCAGGAGCGGTATCTGCTACTTTGTGCAAGGAGAAAGAGGATGAGCACTGCCAGAGCCCTGCAAGATAACCTCCAGCAGGCCACTGTGCGAATGTCTCTGACCAAACAATCAGAAACAGACTTCATGAGGGTGGCCTGAGGGCCCGACTTCCTCTATTGGGCCCTGTGTTCACTGCCCGACACCATAGAGCTCAATTGGCATTTGCCATTGTACACCAGAGTCGGCAGGTCCGCCACTGGCGCCTTGTGCTTTTCACAGATGAGAGCAGGTTCACCCTGAGCACATGTGACAGACATGAAAGGGTCTGCAGAAGCCATGGAGAACATTATGCTGACTGTAACATTATTCAGCATGATTGTTTTGGTGGTAGGGCAGTGATGGCCTTGGGAGGCATATCCATGGAGGGACGCACAGACCTCTACAGACTAGACAATGGCACCCTAACTGCCATTAGATATCGGGATGAAATCCCTGGTCCCATTGTCAGACCCCAACGCTGGTACAGTGGGTCCTGGTTTCCTCCTGGTGCACGAAAATGCCCTCTCTCATGTGGCGAGGGTATGAAGGAAGTTTCTGGAGGATGAAGGAATTGATACCACTGAATGGCCCCCACGCTCGCCTGACCTAAATCCAATAGAACACCTCTGGGATATCATGTTTCGGTTAAACCAACGCCGCTAGGTTGCACCTCACTGTCTGGGCGCTCAGTGATGCCATGGTCCAGATTTGGGAGGAAATACCCCAGGACACCATCCATCGTCTCATTAGGAGCCTGTCCCGACGTCGTCAGGCGTACATACAAGCACGTGAGTACCATTTTGAGTTGCTGCAATGAAATTTCAGCAAAGTGAACTAGCCTGCTGTATTATTTTTTTCACTTTGATTTTCGGGGTGTCTTTGAATTCAGTCCTCTGTAGGTCGTTCATTTTCATTTCCATCAAACGATGGGGCATCCTTGCTTTCCTAACACATTACCCAGTCCATATCAATCTAGATATCCAGCATGAGATTTTTCCCCATTGAGATCTGATGTGTTTTCAAAATCTTCCTTCAATTTTTTTGAGCAGTGTATATTACATTCATAGCAAAGTGCAGATACAGCAAAGATTGGTATACAAGTTTTTGTATTTAAGAGGCGTATGTTCATGCGCACCTGTTGCTAATTTTGGTCAATTCAGAATAAATTGTTGGGGTGGGTCAGGGCAGATGTTGGTGTATATAGGGGGAAATGTAAAAATGACATATGGTGTATATGTGCACAGATACCTACATTGTGCTTGATCATTTGCTTAAGCACTAAAGAAGCAAAGAGACATGGCTCTTTGACTTTTTTTTTTACGGTACTTAGTTGTATGTTCAGTGAGTTAAAGATGGTTTAGATCTGCTTTAGTGTAAAAGGACAGCCTTATGTCAGAATGACCAGTAGATCGAGAGATGTAAAACTGTTCTTTCAAGGGGCTGTCCATCATATTTGACGTGTATGTAAACCCCAACAATGAACTTCTCGTGCTCTAAATTGGTTTGGTAAATACAGTGGGGCAAAAAAGTATTTAGTCAGCCACCAATTGTGCAAGTTCTCCCCCACTTACAAAGATGAGAGAGGCCTGTAATTGGCATCATAGGTAGACCTCAACTATGAGAGACAAAATGAGAAAAAAAATCCAGACAATCGCATTGGCTGATTTAGAAAGAATTTATTTGCAAATTATGGTGGAAAATAAGTATTTGTTCACCTACAAACAAGCAAGATTTCTGGCTCTCACAGACCTGTACCTTCTTCTTTAAGAGGCTCCTCTTGTCCTGCACTCATTACCTGTATCAATGGCACCTGTTTGAACTTGTTATCAGTATAAAAGACACCTGTCCACAACCTCAAACAGTCACACTCCCAAACTCCACTATGGTGAAGACTAAAGAGCTGTCGAAGGACACCAGAAACAAAATTGTAGACCTGCACCAGGCTGGGAAGACTGAATCTGAAATAGGCAAGCAACTTGGTGTGAACAAATCAACTGTGGGAGCAATAATTAGAAAATGGAAGACATATAAGACTACTGATAATCTCCCTCGATCTGGGTCTCCACGCAAGATCTCACCCCGTGGGGTCAAAATGATCACAAGAACGGTGAGCAAAAATCCCAGGACCACATGGGGGGAACTAGTGAATGACCTGCAGAGAGCTGGGACCAACGTAACAAAGGCTACCATCAGTAACACACTACGCCGCCAGGGACTCAGATCCTGCAGTGCCAGATGTGTCCCCCCGCTTAAGCCAGTACATGTCCGGGCCCGTCTGAAGTTTGCTAGAGAGCATTTGGATGATCCAGAAGAGGATTGGGAGAAGGTCATATGGTCAGATGAAACCAAAATAGAACTGTTTTGGTAGAAACACAACTCGTGTTTTGGAGGAGAGAGAATGCTGAATTGCATCCAAAGAACACCATACCTACTGTGAAGCATGGGGGTGGCAACATCATGCTTTGGGGCTGTTTCTCCGCAAAGGGACCAGGACGACTGATCCATGTATAGGACAGAATAAATGGGGCCATGTATCGTGAGTGCAAACCTCCTTCCATCAGCAAGGGCATTGAAAATGAAACGTGGCTGGGTCTTCCAACATGACAATGATCCCAAACATACCTCCCGGGCAATGGAGTGGCTTCGTAAGAAGCATTTCAAGGTCCTGGAGTGGCCTAGCCAGTCTCCAGATCTCAACCCCATAGAAAACCTTTGGAGGGAATTGAAAGTCTGTGTTGCCCAGCGACAGCCCCAAAACATCACTGCTCTAGAGGAGATCTGCATGGAGGAATGGACCAACATACCAGCAACAGTGTGTGCCAACCTTGTGAAGACTTACAGGAAACGTTTGACCTCTGTCATTGCCAACAAAGGATATATAACAAAGTATTGAGATGAACTTTTGATATTGACCAAATACTTATTTTCCACCATAATTTGCAAATAAATTCTTTCCAAGTCAGCCAATGCGATTGTCTGGATTTTTTTTCTCATTTTGTGTCTCATAGTTGAGGTCTACCTATGATGCCAATTACAGGCCTCTCTCATCTTTTTAAGTGGGAGAACTTGCACAATTGGTGGCTGACTAAATACTTTTTTGCCCCACTGTATATCATTGAAAGCATTTTGTTATATATGTTCAGCAAGTGCAAGAATGCCTGCTGATCTTGCCAGAAATCTAGTAAACTTTTGGCTCTGTCTATGCTAACTGTTGTCCATTAGCATTGTTCCTGGATCTCCCTGTGGACTACAGGATACCCTCCCCACTATGTTATGGAGAGGAGGAGATGTTTTGCAGTCCTAAAACATTTCTTCTCTGAAGGGAGATCACTCCTTCATAAAGTACAGTGTGTCAGCATTGTCACCCTAGAACAGGATGTTACTGGAAAGATCACAAGCTTAAAATATAAATAAAAAAAAGCTTGAAAAAAGAAAACTAGTGCAGCCACCACCAAAAATGACATGTAAGTCACAATATATAAAATTTTGGTCTTGTGTTTAGGTATGCTTTTAGGCCCTACTCCCACTTGTCCATTTTCATGTGTTATTTTGCTGCCTGAAAATGATTTTTATATTTAGTCAGAAAATGAAGTCCTGATAGGTTACTTCAGGCTGGCCCCATTTGCAGGTATAGCTATTTAAAGCATTCAATAAGTACCTATACAGTTTAAAATCCAGTAATGCCCTGTCTCACACCCTGCTCTGCACATGCTCAATTGCTCTTTATTCTTTACACTGTGCCTAAAATCAGAGCTACTAGAGGCTGATCCTCGGAGAGCTTTGAAGTGGAACTACGCTACATCTGAGC